GTGAAATGTGCTTTTCTAAATGGTTATTTAATGGAGGATGTATTTGTAGAACAACCTCCAGGTTTTGAAAATCCAAAATTTCCTAATCATGTGTTCAAGCTTGACAAAGCCCTTTATGGAATTAAGCAAGCTCCAAGAGCCTGGTATGAAAGGCTCTCCAAGTTCCTTTTGCAAAATGATTTTAAAAGAGGATAAGTAGACAAAACTTTGTTTTTAAAATCTCAAGGAACTGATCTTTTAGTTGTACAGATCTATGTGGATGATATAATTTTTGGAGCAACTAACGATGTCTTGTGCAAGTACTTTGCTGAACACATGAGTGGTGAGTTTGAGATGAGCATGATGGGAGAATTGAATTTCTTCCTTGGACAACAAATTAAGCAGACCGAGAAAGGAATCTCAATTCATCAACAGAATATGTCAAGGAACTACTGAAAAAGTATAACCTTGATCAGGCTTAAACAAACCATACACTTATGGGAACAGGCACAAGACTGGATGAAGATCCAAAAGGAACAAGTGTGGATCAAAAGATGTACAGAGGTATGATAGGTTTCTTATTATACTTAACTGCTAGTAGACCTAACATTGCTTTCAGTGTTGGATTGCGTGCCAGGTTTCAATCAAACCCTAAGGAATCTCACCTAACTATTTTAAAGAGAATTATGAGATACTTGAAAGGAATTAATTATTTATGTATCTTTTATCCTAGAAGTGATTCTTTTGAGTTGAAAGGTTTTGCAGATGTAGATTATGCTGGAGATTTAGTCAATCGAAAGAGTACATCGGGTATGGTCCAGTTCCTTGGGCCATGCTTAGTCTCTTAGGGATCTAAGAAATAAAACACTGTAGCTCTATCTATGGATGAAGCAAAACATGTTGTTGCAGCCACATGTTGCTCACTAGTGCTTTGGATCAAACAACAACTTAGAGACTTTGGTAGGAAATTTGATTGCATTCCTATTTTTTGTGATAACACAAGTGCTATATGTATCTCTGAAGATCCAGTTCATCACTCTCATGTTAAGCATATTCATATAAAACATCATTTCTTAAAGGATAATGCTTAGAAGGGCTTAATAAAATTAGAATTCTGTGAAACTACTAATCAAATTGCTGATATTTTGACTAAGCCCTTAAACAGAGAAAGACATGAGATGATGAGAATAGAGCTTGGAATGATTAAGTTATGTTGAGGAAAAGCCTTGATGTTCCCTCAGGTAAAATCTCTAAACTAATGTACATTTTATCTCACACAAAATGATATGTTTAATTACATAGATAAGGCATGAGAATCAAGCATATATAGTCTCAAAGTTGTACACAAGTAAAATGATAATTCTTGAAGTCCTTGACTAATGGCATGAAATATGTTGACTTGTTTCGTGTATCAATTTGCATGTTCACAAGTATATCTTTTTAATAAAAAATATTGTTTGATTTAAATTCCAATACTTTGTATTTATCATCAAACACAGTTTTTTTTTGTTGAATACATTAGATATTCATCTAATTTTGTTGAAGTGATCCCTTTGCATGCAAAATACTATTAACTTTCAAGTATTATCTTTTTAGTTTCCCAAAGCTTTAAATAAAGTGTCTCATCATCATTATTCACCTCACCGACCCATCTCTCTGAACCGACACCTCACATTTACCCCTACAATAAATTTTACACCACTCAGATCAATGATTCCCTTACCTTACAAAGAAACTAGCTCTTACTCTCCAATGGACATCTCTCCAAAAGACGAAACCCTAAACAAAAATCTGTAGCCCACCGTGCAGATTCAAGAATTCTCTATAGAAATCGCAAAATCCACTCTAAACCAACTACTTTTAGAATGCCCTGCATCACCTCACTCTACTCACTAAAAAAAAATGGCAGAGGAACAAGAGGAAATCAAAGAAGAAGATGTGGAAGAATTGGGGGTTTCGTACATGAACAAGTCTCCTACTATGAAGAGACTTGAGGAGAATGCAAAGCACTTCGTGACTGGTCTGTGTTTGAATCTTTCCTGCTGCAAAGCTTGTAAGTTCAACGAATTTCTCGATCTTATTGAATTTCAAAATTGGACTTATTTGTTGAGTGAATGCTTCAATAAACCTTTGTATGCTGGTGCTCTAAAGATATTTGAAATAATTATAAATATGAAAAAGGAAAAATCAAGAGTGAAGTGCAGAATAAGAAAATTGAATTTGATGTTGTATATTTGGCTGAATTATTTAAAATGCCTAATGTTGGTTATGAGTTGTATTTCAAAGGTTCTGCTCAAAAACCCCTTCCTGACATTAGTATTGACTATATTGTTGAACACTACCAAGGAAACCCTAAGCTCACCTATGTCAACCGCAATAACTTCACCCTTCTCCAAAAATTGCTCTTCGAAATTGTTTATAATGACATTGTTTCTCGAACCCAGAAAAGAGATTCAACCAATAAGCTTGACTGTATCTTCATGTATTGCCTTGAACATCAATTTCACATCAACTTCCCTTCCATTATGATCCAACACTTTGACCATTGCCTTCCTAGAGGCTCGAAAATTGGCTATGGAAACCTCCTCACCACTATCTTTAAAGACTTTGGTATTGATCTCTCAAAATAAGAACCCCTGCCTTAAAAAAAATGAATTTGTGCAAATAATATTCCTTGAAAATTGTGGCATGCATGTGGTTTATGGATGTTTAGAGGAGATACCTGTAGAAGAGGAGGAAATGGAAAAGCCCTCAACTGAGGGGGAACAGGTGGAAGAGAAAAGTGATGTTAAGAAAAAGCAGGAGGAAGAAGAAAAGAAAGAGAAAAAGAGAGAGAGGGAGAAGTTAGAAGAGGCGCAGGATGTGCAGGAGACTGGGGTATAGAAAATAGGGGAAGGAAGAGGAAAAGTTTGAGGTTGCCTTGCAAGAAGAACCCCAAAGAAGTAGAACCTGTTCATATAGACTTGGGTGATCCTGAAAAGGAAAAGATGACAGTTCCTACACCACCAGAATCTCCATCCAAATTTGTTCCTGTAGGTATGGGATTTGCAGCTTCCAGTTCACCAGTGAAGCTTAATGAGGCCTTGGCCATAGAATTCAAAGAACTGAAAGAGGAGTTGGGAAAGGTTGCTTCTAAGCTCGAGTCAAACACCAGCAATTTGGATGTCCTGGAGCAGTCTGTTTCTTGGTGTTCTTCTAATGCTCGAGCTCTGCTTCTCTAAGTTGCTCAGGCTAGAGATGAAGCTGTCAAACAGGTTATACAGCAGATTGAGAGAAAGCTGGATGAGCTTGCTCCTGAAGAAGATGATGCCTGATCATGTTCTCTGTCTCATAATGATGATGTTGTTTTTGTTTCATTTTAATTAGCTTAAAACACTTTTCTTTTGGGTCTATAACTAAAACAGGGATTACTTGCTTTCTTTTGGTTGAACTTGTGGATTTGGTACACTTTGGCTGATGTTTTACATTGGTTTTGGATGAATATGTTTTATTGTTATCTTGTGTGTTTTCTTGCTATGACTGTCTATATGCTCTCTGCCTTATCATTAAACCCTACTGTGGTGCTGTGCTATATACATTGTGTTTTTGATAGTGCCAAAAAGGGGAAAGTACATAGGCAAACTACTTAACACTTAATCATCTATCTCTCCTCAAGTTTTGTGTCTCTCTGGTTCTCAGTCAGGTATAAAACAAATATATTTTGTCTTTCTCTTCTTATTATTCTTACAGTAGTTTATAGTATAACAGTCTTTTGTTTTCTTTTGCTTTTAACAGTTTGCCTTGTTTGTCATCATCAAAAAGGGGGAATATTGTTGCCCTCGATGTTTTGATGATAACACAAGTCAAACTTATGATTGGACTAATGTCTTTATAAGTTGTGTAGTTTGGAGATTCAAGTTGCAGATTTATTCGAGATAAAGGAACTGGAGCTCAAAAAGCAAAAAACTGGTTGCAGTGTTCCTTTGTAGGAACGGAAGCTTCGGAGTAGAAGCGAGAGAATGAAGACTCAGAGTAGAGAATTCTTAAGAGAATTGACACAATCTAAAGTATTTTTATTTTAGGTTTTATATAAGTGAAAGTAATTTGGAGTTGGATACTTAGTAGAATGCGCATAATATTTTGTTAAAAGATTTAAAGAGTGCTTGATTATAGGAAAGTTAGTTTTGAAAATTATCTTTTTCTGATTTATTGTTTACAAGAATATCTTCTTATTTTTGGAAAAATATTCTTCAAAAATATTTTGCAACTAACTCCCTAAACTTGCGCTACTGGTGTTTGATTAAGTCCTCCACTAAACGAGGAAACTGCTTCTCAATGGTTCAACGTGCCCTGAGTTTTAGGACGTGATTGAAGCACTGGAAGTGGTGGAGACTAGTGGTGTTGATGTGCAGCAGTAGTGGCGTAAGTGGAGTGCAAAATAGTGTTTTAATCAAGCTACGTTTTCCTATAAATATAGAAGTTGCAAACTTCACCTTGCTCATTGATACTTTCTATCTTCTTAGTTTTCAAAAAGAGTCAAGAGTCGCATTCTACTTTAGTTGATAACTTTCTTATTTTCTTTCATTAGAGTATTTATTTCTAAGAGTTGTAATTGGGGATTGGGAGTTTGAGTGAACTCTAGAGAAGTCATAAGAGTAAGAGAGAGAAGAGAAAGAAAAGAGAAGAGCAGTAAGTTAAGGGACTTATTGCTGGGAACTCTAAGTTCGTTGAGGAACTTGGAGATAGAGTCTTTAGCTTGTAATAGGTTGATTGCCCTATTCTAGTAAAGAATCTTTCCTAAAATCCCAAGTGATCGTGGTTTTTCTTCTTGTTAGGGCCAAGAAGTTTTCCATGCTAAAATCTCTTTGTGTGACTTTGAGTTCCTTTAGCTTAGTTTTTACATTTCCGCAAAAAGTTGTCAAATTCCTCTCATACTAAAACTCACCCTCCCTCTTGTAGTATTCTTCTTAAGTAACATAAACGCTACACTACGATTTCTAATATTAATTGAATTATAATATAATCTTTAGTCTTAATATATATTTTGACAATTCAAACATTAAAGTAAAACTTTAAAGAAGTATCACAATGCTGGGAACTTATTTAGCAGCTTATACACCACAATTCAAATTACAGAAACATATAGTAGTACATGGATACTGATAATACGTTTCAATTGAAGAGTTCTTCTATTTCAAAGATTAAAGTGATTTTCCGACATCATTTCAGGTAACTACCTTGCTGTTGGACCCATTTCAATCGATGTATCGGCAATGGCAATGTCAGTAGTAAGATAACCATATTCATGGTTATACATCTCTCTATTTCTGCCTTGGGACATTTCGATGGCAAAACAATCAATCAGATCACTTAACACTTGGTTCATGGTTGGCCTTTGGATTGCAGTAGATGATACACACATCATAGCAATCTCCAAGGCTTTCCATGCAGAGTTAGTGTTGAAATGTCCTTCCAATCTCTTATCGACAATAATATCTATATCTCCACTCTCAAACTTAGGAGTAGTCCATGCGATTATGTGTATGGGTTCACCATTGCTTCTCACAATTGGTGATTGCCCTGTGATGAGCTCCAACAAAACAACCCCGAAACTAAACACATCACTCTTCTTATTAAGTCTTTGAGTGCTATAGTATTTGTAGCACAAGACATTATGATAATCACTCATCAGACTAAGGAATTTAAAAGTCTAGTATCTCTTTCCAAGGCTGAGAAATTACACCATATATTCTAAAAGCTTCATAATTCTTCTAATTCAAAAGAGGATAGCATGCAAATGATGATTGCAATACAAATGAAATCAAGTATATATGAGAATTGTAAACTTACTCTGGATCAATGTAGCCATGTGTGCCCATCACGTTAGTGCACAAATTACTCTTTGTACTTTCAATAGAGAACGTTTTGGAGATGCCAAAATCTGATATCTTGGCATGCATGTTCTCGTCTAATAGAATATTGGAAGTTTTCATGTCTCTGTGTACTATTGGAGGTTTACACCCACCATGCATATATTCCAACCCTACAGTTACATTATTGTTATCTTTAATGCAAACTAACCTTGTGTAGCATATAATGCAAACTATATCAAACATTTCTCATATAAAGTTATAGTGTTGCATATGATGCAAACTGACCTTGTGCAGCATCTATGGCAATTTGTAGTCTCTCTTTCCAGCATAAAACCTTAGCATTGTTTTGTGCTTTATCAAATTTTTCTACAACTAGAAAATGAACAAATTTTGTGATTACATTCATGCTACCTTTGCAAAAGAATATAATACCTTATATATACATTCAAAATAATTTCATGGTCACACTGCACCTTCATGTTTCTTCCTCCATTATAAGACATGTTACTAGCTTATTTGCAATGTTTACCTGATAAATGTTGTTGCAGGTTACCATTAGCTACATGTTCATAGATAAGTGCCTTGGTTGTGCCTTCCTTACAATAACCTATGAGAGAAACAAGGTTTCTATGATGAACTCTTGTTAATAGTCCAGCCTGTCAGTAGAAAACAAAGTTGTTATTTTGTATGCATTGATTATGCATGCTTCTGTATCGATCACAAATTTTATATAGTGTATACTAGAATAATGAATATTATACCTCTGTACGAAACAACTTCAAACTAAGAGTGGATGATGGGTTCAACATTTTAACTGCCACAGAAGTTCCATCTTGTAAGGAGCCATGATAAACTGCTCCAGATCCTCCTTTGCCAATGATTGATTGAAAATTATTTGTCATATTCATCACTTCAACGTATGTGAAACTCCGACTCTCTAGCTTTAATGATGCATCTTTTATGTATTTTACTATATATTGAAAAAACATTGCATAAGCGATGTACTAGTACAACTAAAAACAAACCAAAGAAAAAGCACAGTACTAAAACTAGACCTTCCATACAGTCGCACCCGATTTTTTCTCCTTTCTTCTTTCTTTCTTTCTCACAAAATCGCACCATTAAAAGTTTGCAACACTTAACGCATGAAAAATCGACTGGGGTTTTAATTTTTTGAACAAAGTAAGGTTTTTCATGTCAAATTCGACCATGAAAACTCTAGATCTAGAGTTTTCATGGTCGAATTTGACCTTTAAAACCCAAATTCAAGCCAATTTCGGGGTTTTGTTGTTGAATTCAAGGTATGTTCTTTTTTTCTTTTTTTTTGGGGTTTTTGAGATTTTTATTTTAATTTTATGGTGATGTGTAGTTAAACTGCGGTGGTGGTGGGTGGTTTTGTGTCAGGAAACTGCAGAGGTAGTGGCTGATTTGCGTTTGGGGAATTGTATGTGGTGGTGGTGGGTGGTTTGTATTCGGGTAATTGTGGTGTAGATCTAGGCTTAGGTGAGTTTAGGTCAGGCCGTCAGGGCTAAGGGTTAGGGTGGGTGGGTTTAGGTAGGGAAATGTAGTTGGTTAATTTGGGGAGAGAGGGAGAGGTGGGGTGGGGGCTGGCTGGTGGTGGTGGTTTGATGTGGGGGGCAAGTGGCAGTGGTGGTGTGGGGTGTAGGCCAGTGGCGGCGGTGGCCTTTAATTTTTTAAAAAAAACATTTTCCGACGGAATTTCTGTCGAAAATTTCCAGCGGAATTGTATCCGTCGGAAATTTCCAATGGACTTTTCCGACCCAGAAAATCTCTTCCAACGCCTGAATAACGTCGGAAATTCCGTCGAAAAAGGTTGTTTTTCCTACAAAAATGTTTACGGCGACAGCTTCTGACGAAAAAATTTCGTCGAAAATCGCCTGTTTTCTAGTAGTGGGTTCTCAGATCCACCTATGCAGATCGAAGATCCTGTCGAAGCAGATTAATGGGACACTTATAACTCTAGGTAATATCTTATTTAGATCCATGCTTGTCTTTTTTATACTCTAAAAACTATGTGCTTTATGTCAATATTGATAGAGAAACATGGGTACAACTTGATAAACGTTTTTCAATGGCTAGTAGATCTAAAATACAAGTTCGTTGAACAACGATCTGTATCAGCTTAAGCAAAATAGCAATCCTGTTAATGTTTATTACACTGCTATGGCTAGCTTGTGGGAAGAACTACTTGATTCAATGAATGTCTTGCTTGTGATATCTGGTCCATTTAATGAAGTTAGAAATCTCTTGAACACAATAGCTAGAAATGAGAAAGCGAATAGACTAATTCAATTCCTTAATTGTCTTGATGACCATTATGGTTCCATGAGAAGTCAAATGCTCATGGTGAACCCACTACCCACTACCCACAGCTGAATCTGCTTGCTCTATGCTTCAGCGAGAAGAAAGTCTAAGGGAGGTGTTATTTTGTAGAGCCGATGACCTTGAGAGAACCATGTCTCTTTCTCTCACTGCGGTGAGAAAGGACATATTCAGAGTAAGTGTTGGTATGTCATTGGATTTCCCAAACGATAGTTTAAACCCAAGACAAACACTATTTACACCACTACCAAGGGAAGAAATTTTGATCAAACTTGGACCAGGCCAGCGAAAAACCTACACCCAAACTTGCTGATGTAGTGGCTTAATTTTCTCAGTTAGGAGGAGGATATGTTACCTTCACTCAGAAGTAATTTGAACAATTTCCCAAACACATGCCATCTCCAAATACTACAAAAGAGAGTGAAACTGATGAAAAATAAGAAAACAATTTCTCAAGCATGGTGTCCTGTCATCATGCGTCTTTCTTCCCGATGGATGGATAATCGATTCAGGAGCTTTAGATCATATGACCTATGATCAGAACAAATTTTATGATCCTAAAGGTGTTATTGCTCTTCCTAGGATAACATTGCCCACAGGTGGTTCAGCTTCCATATCTCATACTGGTGATGTTAACTTATACAACTCTTTACGATTACACAATGTTCTATGTGTGCCAAAATTTAGGTATAACCTTCTATCAGTACCAAAATTGACCAAAGAATCACAATGTGAGGTAAATTTGTATGACACACATTGTGTAATTAGATATTCTGTCACAAAATGAATCAAAGGTGTGGGAAAAGAAAAGAATAGGTTGCATTACTTGGTTGATCATTTATTGGGTGGAGATGAGACTTCTCAAGAGCAAAAATTTATCACATGTCTTACAACTAAGTGTGATACAAGAGTAGTTTCTTTTGCTGTCTAGCATCATAACCTTGGACATGTTTCTCTGGAAAATTGCAGTACATTCCATGTGTAAAACGGACTATAAAAAAGAATAGTCAGATATGTGTTACTTGCCCAAAGGCAATATTTACAAAGTTTCCATACCAGTTAAGTCAATCTCATGCTGTTGAACCTTTTGACGAGCAGATTCACATGGACATCTGGGGTCCGGGGTCCATACAAAGTGTGTACAAGGGAAAATTCAGGTATTTTTTCACCATATATAGTTTATGACTACTCTAGAAATACATGGGTATACTTGCTTCAACATAAGTCTAATGCTCTCAGTCAGCTGAAATCATTTTCTAAGTATGCTTAAACACATTTTAACTCAAAAAATCAAGTTTATGAGATCTGACAATGCCTTAGACTTTGATGAATTAGGAATAATACATCAAACATCTTGTGTTAGGCCTGAATAAAATGCTAGAGTTGAAAGAAAACACCTACATGTTCTTGAGTATGCTAGAGCCATCAGATTTCAGGCAAGGCTCACATTATTAATAGACTCCTTACTCCTGTTCTACAATATAGAACTCCATATGAAATGTTGGTTAAACTCCTACTAATTATGACCACATGAACGTACTCCCTCCGTTACATATTGCTCGCAACAATTACTAAAAATAGCCCCTATATATTACTCGTAACAAACTTTTTTTTCCTTTTATGGTAATTTTTTGTGTGATTTTACATAATGACCCTTACTTTTTTTTAAACACCCTAATTAAACTACTGATTTTATCTTATTAATTTAAACCTTAACATTGATTAACTTAACCATTTCCCCAAAATATTTCCCTTCCTTTGAAATTCATTATCACCTTCATTGGCAACCACGTCCACCACTACCACCAATCTCTAGTCTCTCTTCATCAACCTAGAAATCTCTCTCTTTGTTCATCTCCCCTCAATTAGACTGCAACATTCTATGGAGACCGCCACTATCACCGGAAGTCACTGCCGCTATCCCCTTGCTTGCGGCCGCCTCCGTTTTCTCTCTCTTCCTTTTCTTATTGTTTCGTCATTGCCGTTGAAGCTCAAATTTGAAGGTTTTATGGTCAAATTTAACCATGAAAACTCTAGATTTAGAGTTTTGATGGTTAAATTTGACCAATTAAAGCTTTAATTGATAATAGAGAAGGCATTAGTTTGTCATTTACATCCCTTTCCTTCATATTTTTAGGGTTGCTTTTTTCTTAGGGGCAGGATTTTTGGGTTCGTCGGTTCGTGGATTGTGGGTTCGTGGGTTGTGGGTTTTGGGGTTCTAGGTTCGAGTTCTGGGTTGTGGGTTTTAGGTTCTTCGGTTGTGATTTTTGTGGTTTTGAGTTCATGGGTTGTGGGTTTTGGGGTTGTGGGTGGTGGTGGGTTGTGGTTGTTGGTGCTGCTGGGTTGTGGTGGGTTTGATGTTTCGTGGTGCTGGGTGGTAAGTGGGTTCGCGCTGCTAGGTGGTGGTGGTGTTGGGTGGTTTCGTGGTGCTAAGTGGTGGTGTTCGGTGGTTTCGTGGTGCTTGATGGTGGTGGTGGTGGTTCGTGAATTCATGGTGCTAGGTTGTGAACTTTGATTTAGTTTTTTTTAGAGTTAGATTATTACTAAGTATATGTCCTTATATTTCAATAACCATGTTTTCAATCTTTTGTCTAGGAGTCCGCAATCCCCTTGTTTGTTGCCAGTATTTGGCATCCATTTTCAATTTTTTATCATCATTTGTTTTTGGGAATTCAAAACATTTACTTTACATCCATTTTCATGTTTCTCTTTTTCGGTAAAGAGTTTTTTTTTTTTTTGAATAGTTTTTCAGGATAACGTTGGTACCCTCAACTTATGACAAAACTTTGTTTCAAAAAAATAAAAAACTTATGAAAAAACTGGCTGGAATTATTTTGCATTTTTAGCATATTACACTTTCACATAGCTCAAGTGATACTCTGTTAAAACACACTGCACACAATGTCATGCACAAAGTCAATTCTAGTCTAGTGCAGTCAGGTCAGTAAAGTCTTGAGTCAATCACTGTCCATATGAGTCCCTTAGTAAAACATTTTCTACAGGACTTAGGTACAAACTTCCATCGCTTATGTAGTCGGACGCACTTGACGCAAAGCATCATCATCATCAACAAGCATGTTTGGCTTCTCTATTCGGAGCCAATCGAGCAACATTGCTTCTATTTGGAGCCAATCGAGCAACATCGCTTTTTTCCGGAGCCAATTGAACAACATCGCTTCTTTTCAAAGACAATCGAATAATATCGCTTATGTTCGGAGACAATCGAACGATATCATTTGCTTCTATTTGTAGACAATCGAACATTCATATCCCTTCTCTTCTATGTAGGGCTGGCAAACGGATCAGGTCGGGTCGGGTTCGTGTTCGGGTTAACTGGTTTCGGGTTAGCTACCCCCAACCCGAACCTGATCCATTTAACTTTTCGGGTTAAAAACCCCAACCTGAACCTTATATTTTCGGGTTCGGGTCAACCCAAAAATGACCTTGTTTGACCTGTTTTTTTGTTTAATTTTAAATCAAGGTGCTTTAATCTGAAATTGACCTCTTTAAATAATAATCTGGTATTAGGTTCCGTGCTTCAATTAGGTTAATTGTATAAATTATATGAACAAGACTGTATAAATTTGGTAAACTGCCACTACAAAAATAATGAGAATAGGCAACACC